GTATTTCGTAAATAAAAAAAGTTTCTCTAATGTATTGTACAAAGTTATTTATTATATGTAAGAATTTATGAAATTTTGGAATATTTCCGGCACAAAAAATGGATTCACTGTAATTTAAATGAATATTAATAATTATTAACTATTATTTTGATAACATCATTTATTTTACAATAAATTTTAAAGATCAATTGTCACATAGCGATATTGAACCAATATATATTATTTAAAGAAATAATTTATTATTTTTGTGTATTATGTTGTAATATTATAACAAAATAAGAAATTAATTTTCAATATTCACTATGTTCACATTATGTTTGTTAGATAAAATTACAGAATAAACGATTTCTCATAATGTAAATAAAAAATTGAATTATATAATGATTTAATACAGTGGAACTGCTAACGAGTTTAATCCGTTCCAAAATTTCCGGATTTTTACTCGTATAGTGAAATACTCGTATAGTAGAAACACGTTTTCCCATATAAACTAATGTAAATTACGATAATGCGTTCCTATGCCGGAAAAAAAAGTATAACTTGGTCTCGATTTAATTGATTTTTTTCATTCTATGGTTATTTTTATTCTTTGACTTTTTATTCGGAGATCATGCCAGTGTTATTAAATTTTGCACAAAAAAAAAAAAAACATTCTAACAAAGTTTGAAATTGTGCACAAACACTAAGATGCCTAGACAACACAGAGTTTATTATATGCTGAAAAAGTTTTTTTGTGATCACAAACATACCAAGATGCAACTAGAATGACCACTAACACCAGAGAACTGTTTTCACACACGTGAGTTTATCAATGTGTAGACCAATTTATATGAAGTGGTTTATATTATTTATATACTTTATAAACGGGGTTGGTGGAGGTCTCTTTATACTTTAATATTTTTTTTATATAATAAAGCGTACATAGTGTGTTTATATATTATAATAATGGTTGGACACAATACATTTGTATTTTTCATTTACAGCAAATTATTATTGCAATTATATTTTTTTTTTTTTTTTTCAGCTTTAATTTCATATTTTGAATTCAGTTTGAGTCGCTGAGGTGATAAGACGTGTGTTCGGTGCTCCGTCTTAGGTTTCTCTATATAATTGTGGTAGTCGGTAATCCGGTAAAGTTGAGAATAGTAGTGAGTGAAAACAATCAACATACAACAACAAACAATCGG